CTGCAAGGTTTTCTTAAAAAATATTTTATAGTTAAGTAAATGTAGAAAATTAAATTGGTACTACAAAAAGGTATTTATTTGAAAAAAGTGTTTTGAAAAAACCTATTTTGCATTTAAAATTTTACAATTGAAATAACAAATCAAACTAGTAATTGCAATATATATTTAAATATTTTTAAAAAATCATAATGCACATTTCTAGACCTATCTAATCATAAATGTATGTCTCTGCACTAATACATGTGTATAATAAATGTTGATAGTGAAACCGATTTATCTTTAGATGTTTAAAATGTTACGCAGGGTGTACGTGTACGAATGCGTATGGGTGGTAAGTACATTTATTGTTTGTTCCGGTCCCTAAATGTGACTTCTCCAATTACCGAACGTAGTGCACGGGTGGTGGCTTTCTACGAGGGTATTGTCGTGAATCAGGAGAAAACGTACACTTTTTAGTTAGAAAAAATGAAAATTACATTTGCATAAAAAGAACGACAATTGTAAGCAAAGTCTGAATGGTATTCGCGTCCCGAGATATTCGTACCGTTATGTCGCGTCATGGGAGGATTTTGAGATTGAATGATCTTGCATTTTTCCCTTGACTTGCGCGCCAAATTTGACTATTCTACGGTTTAATGTCACCTAACAAAAGTTTATTCGCTTCTGAATCGTTTTCTGGTATACTAGGTCATGTGTGTGGTAGATGGAAATAAATAAGATAGTATGGTGGCACACAAACTGGACCTATCTAAACAGAGGCGAGCTGACGATCCTGACGATTGAAAAGAATAAATATTTGCTCGCAATGATGATAACGAAGTGTGACAGAATCAGCTTTAACGGTTTTTCCAGATTAAACATTTACATCTGATCCGTAAATAGGCTTGAAGATAACCGTATTCAAATAAGTATAGTCCTAACAGATGTTAATTTAATATTCTTTTATAATGTACATACGTGTTTATTATAAACTGTTAAATAAATAAGAATTGCAATACATTAACATGGTCCTTCGAGCCGGATCCAAATTCACCTATCAAGAATTTACCCAAAATTTCCTGACTTTTAGTACTTGAATGTTATGAAGTTTTTTTTAATTATGTGCTTACTAAATAGGTAGAGTCCACGAACATTCTGTTGTGTTATTTTCAAAAGAAGGTAATTTTAAAGTTGTCCGACTAACGATAAGGAGATTGAGCATATTAAGTAGGTCAGTGGCCGCAAATTGGCCAAATAAATTACAGTGAAAACATCGTAGAAGTTTGTAGGAGTATACTACATAGTATGTGTAAATGTATGTATATTTATAGTTATGGTACACCTACCACATAGCTTATTAGGTAAAAGAGGTTTTGTAATGGGTATGTTCAATCAACGACAAATTTAAGATGAAA